GCTGGCCCTGGAGCAGAAGAACCGCTCGTACCAGCTGCTGGAGGACAGCGAGGAGGAGGCGGCGGAGGAGGCCGGGCGGCGGCGGGGGGCGGGGGCCCGGGGAAGCACCCCTGGCTCCGCGCGCAGCCCCGAGGGAGGGAAGCACAAGAAGCGGCGCAAGCACCTGCGCCGGAAGCGGGACGAGACCTCGGGAGAGGAGAGCGAGGCGGAGCCGGCGCGGTGCGTGGGGATGGGTGGGGTGCCAGGCCTCTCCCTGCAGGTGGAGTTGCCCAGAGATGAACCTCTCTCCCCACCTCTCCACCACTGTCTCAGATCCACCTGGGTCCTCCAGAGCCCTCTCCCAGCCAAAGCCTCGGCCTGGCACCCGCCAGTGCGTGCCCTGCTCAGCAATCAATGTGGCCAAGTCGGAGAGAGCTCTTAGCCTCTCTGCCCCCCGTTCTGGTTTTGCTCGCCTGCTTTTAGCTCCGTGTGGGCAGTGCCGCAGTCTGCCTGTTGTCCCGGCCCATGCAGTCGGCATCGTTTTTACCAGGTTCTCCTCCCGCTAGCTCTGCTCTCTGGGCTCTGAGTCAATCTTGCAGCTGTTTTCTATGTAACCCCCTGAAAGGCTGGTTTTTCCTGCCCACCCACATCACTAAAACTTCATCTCAGTGCTTCAAAGTGACCCTTTTTCTAGTCTTCACCAAGGCAGCTTGGCCCTTCACCATCCTGCTGCCAGGGTCATTCTCCTAGCTCATCTTGGTGACTGTACCCCCCTCTCCTTGCTAGTCTCTGTGGGCTCCTCCTTTGCACTGTCAGACACCAGCGTGTGCTCACTCTTGCGGCCTAACTGCCGCCTTGCCTGGCATCCCCCTATAGTGAGACGTCATGTTCTGCCGCTGGTCAGCCCATAATGCCAGCTTCCATTGCCCTCTTGTTTCAGACATGTCCATCCACACTTCCCCTTGTGCTGCCCCTCACACTCTGAAGGGTCTCCCTGTAAAATCCCACAAACTAGCTCACAATCTTCCTTCCAATCATTTCTTGTAGCCCTTCTTTTCCACGACACTCACAGGACTTTGCAGTAAGTTGCTGATGTTCTTAGACCACCACCCCCATGCTGCCAGGACTGTCTCGGTGTTTTCTTGGGCTCTTCCCTTCTGTCTGTACTCTGAAGTGGGGGCCATCTTCCTTGTCTTCGCAGTGCCTGGCACAGCAGTGGACCCAGGCCCATGCCTGGGGCTCTCTGGTGCTATGGCCTTGACTTCTTCTCTCGACAGGGAGGCAGCACAGTCCCCACCAAAGAAGGACTCGGAGGATGAGTGGGAGCAGAGCGAGCGGGATCGCCTGCGGGACCTGGAGGAGCGGGATGCCTTTGCTGAGCGGATCCGGCGAAAGGACAAGGATCGGACCAGGAATGTCCTGGAGTGCTCGGACAAGAAGGCAAGTCCCTGTCCCATCCCCTGCTGAGAGGCTGTTTGCCCAGTCCTCAGACCCAGCTACTCTGGGATCCTTCCTGCTCTCTGAGGTTAGACCCAACTCCTCTCCTACGACCTGCCTCTGATCCTGGAGGTCCCTCCCCAGTGCCCATAATACCCGCCTCTTGATGGGCTGATTGCAAACCCAGTGAATGCAAGGGCAGCAGGGAGGGAGAAGCTGAAGTGGAAGTCAGGGCAGGAGACAGATCCGTTTCCTTTCATGAGGGTGAAGAACTGGGTGATTAGCAGAGCAGGGTGTCGTATCTGGTAGCCCCCAGCTCCTTCCCATCATGGGACTGTGCACCATATGCCCTGCTGGGCCCTTTAAGCCCCAGAGGCAGGTTAAGGCCAGGGCCGGGGTGGGTCAGGGCTGTAAAGCTGAAGTGGAAGTCAGGGCAGGAGACAGATCCGTTTCCTTTCATGAGGGTGAAGAACTGGGTGATTAGCAGAGCAGGGTGTCGTATCTGGTAGCCCCCAGCTCCTTCCCATCATGGGACTGTGCACCATATGCCCTGCTGGGCCCTTTAAGCCCCAGAGGCAGGTTAAGGCCAGGGCCGGGGGGGGTCAGGGCTGTACAGGAGACCATCTGGGGCCATCTGCATGACTTGAACTTCTCTCCCTTTCCCCTCTTTGTTGAGCTCAGGCCTATGAGGAGGCTCAGAAGCGACTGAAGATGGCAGAAGAGAATCAGAAATCCATGGTAAGGGCTTTGTCACCTTCGCCTTCCCTTTCTTCTCTTGTGGGTGACCAGGGACTTGTTGGCTCATTTTGCCCAGTGTCTCGCTACCCTGGATCAGAGTGAAGGGCCCATCTAACATGATGTCCTGCCCCAGATTGTGCCAGCAGGCCCCGCTGTCTTGGTGTCCTGCCTTTGTGCATCAGACATATGGGCCCCATCTAGCCCAGCAATCTCTCCCTCACTTCTTTGTTCTTCTTGCTTAGCTGAGCTGCTGTGCAGTCCCTTCCCCACCCCCCTTGTTTAGAGGCTGATGACTCCATTTTGCAGAGAGGGGAAACTGAGGCAGATCACCCAAGTGATTAGCCCAGGGTTGCACCAGGGTCTCACTGCCAGAACTGGGAAATCCACTCTCTTCTGATCTGCTTTGTCAGCCTTTCCATAACCACCTCCTTGAATCAAAAAGGATCCAAGAGTCCTGGCTTTTTGCTCCCTCTCCTTCTCCCAGAGCTGGGGTTGGAACCCAGGTGTCCAGGAGTTTAACCTCTGGTCTTTTTCCCCCCACGTCTCACTTCCAGGTCCCTGAGCTGCGTAAGAAGTCACGCCGGGATTACCTGGCCAAGCGGGAGCGGGACAAGCTGGAGGACCTGGAGGCAGAGATTGTAGATGAGAAATACCTCTTCTCGGAGCTGGAGCTGACGACGCGGGAGCAGAGGGAGCTGGAGTACAAGTGCCGGGTGCGCGACCTGGCCAAGGAGTACAAGCAGGCAGGCGAGAAGGAGAAACTGGAGAAGAGCAACCGCTACTACATCCCCGAGGAGAGTCGCAGCAAGGTATCTCCCCCTGGAGGAGGGGATGGGGCAGCCATAGTGGGTGCTGCTCACCTTTCAGGTAGCACTCTCTAGTGTGGGAGACCTGCCTGAGGATTGGGGAGGTGAAGAAAGGGCCTGTGAGACATGCCCAAGGTGAGGGGGTTGAGGGATTTAGGGTGTGTCTGGGGACTAGGGAGTTGAGGGGGTGGACTGCGGCGGTGCTCAGTGCCCTGGTGGGTGGCTGTAGGACTGGTCAGAAAGGGAATGAGATTCCTTCTTGGGTGGCCCCTGCAGCAGTGGAGGAGACTTGGATGAGCCTGTCACCCAGTCTGTCTTACCTAGAGCCAGGGTCAGTGTGTGAGCCTCCAGCCAGGGACCATTTCTGCTGGGGCTTGACTCATACCCTAGAACTCTCATGTCTCTACAGAAAATCCCCGACCACTATGAGGAGCCGCAGGCAGATGAGCGCACGGCTCCCCGAGATGAGCAGCAGCGCTGGGAGGAGGAGCACATTGGGGCGGCTGCCTTGCGCTTTGGGGCCCGTGATGCCAGCCAGCACCATCCCCACAAGGACTATGAGTACGTGCTGGAGGAGGATGAGATGATCCAATTCGTCAGCGCCGTGCAGATGCAGGGCATCCAGCAGGAGAAGGTTGGGGCTAGGACCTTTTCACCACCTAGGGGCACTGCGTGGACCAGGGGGCAGTGGAGGAATGGGAGACGGGGCCTTTCTCCCTACATTCAAGATTTGCTTGTGCTTGTCTGTATGTCACAAGTTGCTGCATCTTGGACCAGTGCCAGCATCCCTGTTCCACAGCCCAGCTGGCAAAGGCTGAGCAGCCCCTCCAAATGTGCCTTCCTTCCTCCCCTTGGAGGGCTGTGCCCCAGCACTTAGGGGTGTTGTGGGTGATTGTGGCGCAAGCAGAGGTTCCAGGATCTGTGTCCCCTTCCCTTCCATTCCAAATAACGCAACCTTCTGGAGGCCTCTTCCTTTGTCTTGCGCCTCCCCTGGTCCCCTCTAGCTGCTGAAGGACTGGGAATTCTCTGGGTTCAAGAGTTGTGGGCGGGGGGAGCTGAGCTCACAGTGCCCTGTGGTCCTTCCTCCCACAGGAGGAGAAAGCGTCGCTGTCGGAGGTGGAGCGTCGGAAGCTGTCCATCCAGGAGGTGCGGCGCAGCCTGCCCATCTTCCCTTACCGCCACGACCTAGTGGCAGCCATCGCGGAGCACCAGGTTCTCATCATTGAAGGAGAGACGGGCTCTGGGAAGACCACCCAGATCCCCCAGTACCTGTTTGAGGAGGTAATCTTGCCACGGGC